GCGTCCGGAGGGAGCGCCTTGGCCAGCCTGCTGCACGCCAGCGTCCTCCCCGGCCCGCTCCGGGGCGCCGTCAAGCAAGAGCCCGACTGGGGCGAGGAGGCATCGGGCTCGCTGCTGCCGTCCCAGATTGCTACTTGCGCCCAAACCATTGTCAATTTGAGCGGGCAGCCCACGCCGCCCACCTCCCCCGAGCCGCCGGGCAGCGCCTCGCCGTCCAGCTATAGTAGCCGCTCTTCTGCTTCGTCGTCGTCGGGATCCAAAGAGCGGGCGGGCAAGAAGTGCGTGGACAGGTTCAGTCCGGAGTACCGGCAGCGGCGGGAGCGCAACAACATTGCGGTGCGCAAGAGCCGCGACAAAGCGAAGCGCCGCAACCAAGAGATGCAGCAGAAACTGGTCGAGCTCTCCGCTGAGAACGAGAGGCTGCACAAGAAGATTGAGCAACTCAGCCGGGACTTAACTAGCCTCCGACACTTCTTCAAGCAGTTGCCCAACGCCTCTTTCCTGCAGCCCTCCTCGGTCACGGACTGCCGATAACCGGCTGCAGGCAGCGCCGCCACGGCCGCCCATGCGAGAGACTTTGAACTTCTTCACGAATACCTCAGCGCGAGCCGCACAAACTGCAGCGGGGGCTGCACGGGAGGGGGGAGGGCGGAGGGCGGGCCAGGCCTGAGTTGCCCCGGGGACTGTGCCAAAGGTACGCGGGGAGAGGGGGAGGGCGCGCCTTGCTCTCGCCTCCCCCCAAGCAAGAGACCTAGCCTGGAAGGCCGGACAGAAATGCGCGGGGAGGGGGGCGGGGGCAGAAAATCCTGTGTGTGCGTGCGTGCGTGCGTGTGTTTTGGCTTTAACTTTTTTTTTTTGGAATGGGCTAAGCTTGGGTCTTTAACCACAAAACTTGCCAAAAAGGTTAAAAAAAAGTGAAAGAAAAGCTAAACGTCTCTTCCCTCCTAAATTATTTTTATAATGATCATCTTCCCTTCCCCCTCCCCTTTGTTGATGCAGCTGTGGTACTTTGTAAGAAACAAATAATGATTTTCAGACTTTTCAAACACTTTTTATTATAAACGGCAAAAGGGAAAAAGTAGACTGAGCATGCTCAAACTTTTATATAAAATTTTTACAGCATTTCTAAAAATAAAAACCCCTTGAAATGTATTTGATTTTGTATTTGTTGTGATGTGGACATGTACTGAGGGAATGTAAATGACATCCAGGTAAATGACAAAGTGCCATGGTTAGTATTTCCTCAAGGGCATTTAAATGTCAGTTACATATCAGAGAGTTACCAAATACTTCTAAAAGTGCAAATACAAGCAGAAGGTATATGGAAGATGTAATTGAATGATGAACTGAAACTGCATGATTCCACTCTTAAGGTATAGCTTCACATAGGATTCAACCACCTAAAGGAGGGTGCAACACTACCTGGAAAGGTGCCTTGCTGAATTTGGTACAACTTTTGAACAGGCTATTAAGAGGAGCTCTATTTTCCATAGGTAAAAATGCCATGCATATACAGATACATAAAAATAATCAGGTAAAGGAAACTTGCCTACCTGTCCAAAAAGAAAAAAGGAGATGATGCATCTAAAAAATACTTTGAGCCAAATGCCAGAGTTTTGTGAAACAGCAATGCAATAATAGAAGTTGGGTTTGGGCATGAGATTAACAGTCTGAGAAATAATTCTAAATAGTGTAAGTAATTAGCACTTGGAAAGTATTCCAACTCTCAGAAAAAGATCAACTGCTTGAACAAGGCCTCAAAAATAAGTCTCATTTAAGGATCCCCCCCCCCCCGGATAAAGGTTATTTTGCCTTATTTTCAAAATATTGGCCTATTTATATTTCTAAAAAGGACATGGGAGAGGGGAGGGATTTTTTTTTTAATTACAAGACAATTGCACTGTTCTGATTTACATGCTTAAGAAAAGGTTTTAGAAAACCTTTATAAGATTACGTGAAACTTTGTATATAATTATCACATGTATATCTTTTTGGATCAAGGTACATAGAAAAGGCATGACAGCCATGCCTTCCAAAACTACTTATGTAGTTCAAAATACATGCTACCATGATTGATTTAAAACTATACCATTCTGTCCATCAGGGTGTCGCCAACAGAAAACATTTTCTCTGCAGCACCTAAATTTGCTTCCCTTGGCTAACTGCCACCTAGTCACCCAGCCCTTTTCAGAAACTCAATTAGCTAGAGTCAACATAATCATTATTTTGAGAAATTAAGAGTTTGATCGTATATACACCAGGAAGTCCCTACAAAATAGGATCTTAGATCCTTCTACATGAGTGTTTTTCAACGTTGACAACTTTAAGATGGGTGGACTTCAACTCCCAGAATTCTCCACCCATGCTGGCTGGGGAATTCTGGGAGTTGAAGTCCATCCATCTTAAAGTTGCCAAGGTTGAGAAATACTGCTCTACATCTTCTTGTCCTCCACACCTACATCTTCTAAACACAAAAATCCAAATCCAGCTGCCAAGTATAGGAATATTTTATGCAAATAACAGGAAATCCCATACGTGCCAGGTTCTCTCTAAAAAAAACTATTTTGAATTACAGGATTTTGGATCAGATACTAAAATTATTCCAGTGTTTCACCAAATAATTTTATCCACCAATCAAAATGAAATATACAAGTAGTTTTGTATAACCATTTTAATTACAATGTGTAAAGCCACTTTTTAGGAAGGCTTAAAAAATACAACAGCCAAATACTTCCTTATTTAAATAATGATTACTGCTGTACATATGCCCTTGTTCATATATACACTTCTTTAATTCTATAACATTTAATTGCAATTATAAAAAATACATATCATGTCAGGTCAGACACTGTATCTGAACATTCTACATTAAATCTTGAACAGAATTTATATGTAAGTAGATATCATTTATCTCTAAGTAGATATAAATTTATATCTTCTAAGTAGATATAAATTTATCTCTAAATTAACATCTGAGGCCGATCTCAAATATATAACTTGGAAGTTAATTTAAAAAACTATTTCAGAAACTCACATTTAACATTTAGTTAGTCAAAAATATTTCGGCCCCTGAAACTCATTACAAAATATAACTTCCAGAACAAATATTGCTGAAAAAATGTATTTCCTTTGAGTGCTTGAATATTATTTATGGAGGACCAGACATCTGCGTATGTGAGTTCCATTAATTTCATGAGACAAGATTTAAGAATGTGCATTTAACTCCTCTCGTTGAAATGAGACTGGTGCTTGAACTGAGACTGGTGCTTGAACTGAGACTTGGGCATGGTTACTGTTCCCTGACACAGGTCTAATGTGTTTTTAAAAAAATAAGGTGCATATAGTTTCGTTTCAAAAGCAGCACTGAAGAACTGAGTACAGTTACCAACAAATATGTTACAAAGATCATAGAAAGACCAGCAGACAATATTCCCTTTAGTTCTTTCAAGCATCTGGGAGAACAATTTCTTCCAATCCAATACAGCTAGATGGGTGGCTAGTTACAGATTGGACGTAACAATTTAAAAACCCCACCTCCTTCCTCAGCACACTCGTTACTTCATAACTCTGCAATGATAAAGCACATTCATTAAAACAAATAATCTTGTACATTTTGTCCTAGCCAGCATACAGCTGAACAATCTTCAGTAAAGAAAGTTCTTAAGGGTTTTTTTTTCTTATTTGCTTTTTTTACTGCTCCAAACCCATGTAATCCTAACAGTTATGAGAAATAATTTTATTAAAGAAATTCAAATAAGAATATCTATCTCTGGGAACCATTTAACTGAAAGCCAAATTTTCTACAAAAGTATTCCAGGAATTTCAACAGAGCATTAGACCAAGAGATCACCCGCTTAATAATTATATTTACAATATAGTTACAATATTACCAATGGTGCAGGTTAATCCAGAATATGCACCTTTATAAATGCTAGCTGGAAGCGGTGAAGGTTGACAGCTAATACATCTAGAAGGCACTGAGTTTGGAAAGGTAGCTTAAGTTAAGAACTAGAATTGTGAAGCTGCCATTTCTTTAAGAAATGTATTTTAAATATACATACCCCATCATCCATGCTTGATGATTCTAGAAGTGAAGAAATAGACTTCTGTAATAGCTGTGATAACAGGGAAATAAGAAAAGATTATGAAAACAATTAATGCAGTCAGTTTGTAACCCTAAAGATCTAAGTATTTTATTACCTGCTCTTATCTGTAACTTCTAGAAACAAATTAGTCCATGGTTTCATTTTCCTAGGAAAGCCCTCCAAAAGAAAATCAAGTTTGAACTCTATACAATACTGAATTGGAACAAGACTGTTCTTGTAATACCTTGACTTTTACAGTGGATTTTGGTTGGGACTGGCAATTCAAATAGACTTCCAGATGCATCTTGAAAACTGGTGAAGTTATAGCTTCACAGCAATGGCTGCAGTAAAGCAATCCTCTGAAATACATGAGAAAAAGACCATTTATATCCATCCCCAAACTTTCATTGACATGATTTTCATGTTCACAGACTTAACATGAGTTTGCACTGTAAGCAAGAACACTTATTGTTCAAATATTCCTAGCTTCCTTGATTTAATATGCAACAATCCTGTAAGAGACAACATGAAACATAATGAATAAAGAGATTCTCAACTTTATATTCTAGTGTCAATGCTAAGGAAAACATGTAACTGAAGGGTTGTAACCTTTTCCTACTCATTGGTTGTCTTGATAAAATGCTAATCATTTTACCCATTTCTGAAAAGTGTTCTTCCCCTAAAAGATTCCAAGAAGAGAATAAACCAGCTGGGAAGAGAGCATATATATCTGGGAGAATTAGAAGATGTGAAAACAGTCAAGAACCACAGTATCACCGATCCTGCTCTGCTAATCCCCTGCTTTATACTCATTAACAATTAACTACATATTTAGAAAGTTTGTACTAGCTTATTTTTATTTTTAAAAAAATAGCCTACTTTTGAGCAAAAAAAGTTTCCCAGTCCAGTTTCTATATGATCAATAAATCAAACCATCCCTAACCAGAAGTCTATGAACAATGTCCATAGGATCTTAGCATTAAAATTTAAATACAGTTTTAAAAGTTACTGAAGGCGAGAATCGCATGATTGTTAACTCCCACAAGATCTCAATGAGAGTACCAAAATCTTGCAAGACTTTGGCCATTTTAAACTCTTCTTTCTTTAGGAGCTAATGTGCCTCTCATTTGAAAAGCTGCTGACTTCTGATTTAAGAGACAAAACATAGAAGGAAAAGGAGATGAGGCGAAAAGAAGAAAACAAGCAAGTTCAGACACCAAATTCGTACAAAATACACAGTAATTCTTTACTGTAATTCAGGACATCAAAATGAAAGAAGGAACAGATATAGCAAAGACATTACTTGGGTATAATGCAAATTATATTGAGACATATAATGTCTCAATAACACCCATTAGACTTTGTGGACAGTCTTTTAAAATAAGAGTTATCCAAGTTTATGCTCCAAGCACTGATGTAGAAGAAGAGGAGGTTGACAAGTTTTATGGTAAAGTTCAATCTGAAATCAACAGAACATGTAAGCAAGTTGTGCTGTTTGTGGTTGGAGACTGGCATGCCAATGTTGGAAATATTAAGGAGGAAAATGTAGCTGGACTGTATGGCCTAAGAAACCAAAATGAAAGAGAATAACTCACCAATTTTAGTCAATATAATGATTTCTATGATACCTATATACATGGACATCACCAGACCGAATACAAAGAAATCAAACTGACTTTATTATTGGTACAAGGTGATGGAATTGCTCATCACAGCAAAGATATGGCCAGGGGCTAACTGTGGAACAGATCATGATGTGCTCGTATGCAAGATCCAAGTCAAGCTAAAAGTGGAAGAAGAAAGTTCTCCAGTATTTTCAAGGAGAATATCAGGAATCATTTTGAAGTCCTGAACCTCATTGATAGGGAAGCAGAGGAAATATGGAATGAAATCAAAGAAGTTGTTAAGGATTAATGTGAAAAGAGATGCCAAGAGATGAATGTGAAAACAGATGCTTCTGTTAGGAAACAGAAAGCAAACTGGATGTTATAACAAACTGTGGAATTTGCCAACAAGAGGAGAAAGCTAAAGTCAAGAAGGCCAAAGATCTCAGGAAGGAACTTAAAA